AATGAGATGCTTTCTATTTTTATTCTGTGTGCTACTAGAATTACCCAGGTAGTGATGCTGATATCTATTTGCATAGATAAGGGAAAGCCTTTTTCTCTGGCAGCCTTTCCTGTGAGGCCCCAGTTCCCACAGTGACCTTGTAGATGCAGAAACTGAATACCTGCACTGTCTCTTGGCAGCCTCATCTCTAATCAGCATTTCCTGAAGTCTCTTAAGTCCTGTATAACTGTGAGTCTGAGCTCTGCAGAAGGAAGCTGGCTGCTGGGTCAGTGCATCAGCAGGTCACATAACACTGAATGCTTCATGCTAGGGAAAAACAAAGCACTTCAAGCCTGCCCTTCCCTGCCACCCTCAAGAGGGAAACCTCTGCACAACATCAGGGGCTTTTTTGTTGTTGAGTGACTTGTTGTATAAGAACAGATTAATTTATTTTTTTAAGACTTATACATCAGGACTCTGGCATGCTAAAGTGCAACATCTAAAGCAAAACAAAGGTACTTACTTAACTCCTTTTTGAAGCATAACCTTAGCAGCTGCCCTCCTCATGAAGCCTGCAGTTTGAATGAACTGACCTTTTGTGAGGAGGATGTATTCTGCTCATTCAAAGAATGGCTGTGCTCTTGCTCCTGCTGCTTGTGTGCAGTTCCTTCCTAGTGTGTAACTCCAGCAGCACAGACCATGCATGGTGACACGGAATGGACTTTGGCTCTACATGTGATCTGTCAGTCAGCTACCATACACCGTGTCAGCACAGGGAGGAGCTGAGCCTCTTCAGTGAAACAGCTGCAGTAGATGTATCACCATGGTCATCAGTCACAGATCACATTCAAGATGTTGTGCTAGGAAAGTATAAAATGCAGTTCTGGTTGCTGGCTTTGAGCATTTCCATCATTATTTGATTTATTAAAACAAACTGCATTCTTCCTGAATTCTTCCTGAAGTCCAAACCAGTCTCTCTTCTCAACCTGTTTAAAAAACAACATGAACAAATGCACTAGGAAGTGGGCAGCAAGAACTACATTAATTGTAAAGCACTCAAGTTGAGGGTATTTTGTCATGCTCTGAATATTACATTAAGCCTGTAGCTTGAACGTTAAGGCTTCAGGCTGTATATGAATGTGAGATTAAAACTTTGGTTACTTCAGGCTAAAACCAGAGGAAGCCTCATACTAGTAATTGCAAAGTGTAACAAGCGGAGGAAGGCATGGGCCTGTTGTGTACAAGTAGTGTAACCACTGGTCTTAAACCTTATTTTATTTTGAAAAGGGTTACATTAAACTTTTAGTAGTAAAACCCAAACATCTCCCTGTGCAGGATCCATGCAAGAAGCAAGCTTTACTTCATGCTCCTGCTCAGGTGAGCCCTAATGTAACTAACTTTAATTATCATGCAGTACCATAGCTTTCTGCAAAAGCATTTACACCTGTGTGCTCATCACCAGCTAGGGAGTCTGTCTTTGCAGCCACATCATCACCCAGAGGGATGGCAACTAAAACAACATCTGGTGCACATAGCTTAGACTTGAGGCTTGCCAGATCAGCTTCCTCATCATCTGGCCAGGGAACTGGGACTACAGTGAATCGCTTCCTGGGACCTGCATCTTGTTGTTCAAACACAGTGTGGCCAGGAATAGGTTTCCAGTCCTGCAGGTGCTGAACATTAGAGCCCACCAAAATGAAAGGTGGAGCGTTTTCCCTCTTGCTTTCTTCTTCCATCACATAAATTGGAGCAGATGCATGTGACAGCTGCCCACACTGTTGATTTCCCAAGGCTGCCTGGGAATGACCACCAGCTCCAGCATGAGGTGGTGACTTTTGACCTTGGTTCAAGTCAACTAGGCACTAGAGGGTCCACACATGGAACATGGTGGTTGTCTGGCTTCACTTGATACCATGGCTACAAGGATAAAAATAAAGAGTGCTGGTATCAGGAGCAGTGGATTCCAGTCATATTGTAAATCCTTCCACAGGAAGCAAATACTGGTGAAAGATGAGCACCAGCTCTTGCTGTTCATGGCACTGATGTCCAGTGCTTAGCCCACACAGTCCAGCTGCAGAAACTCACCAAACTCAAGACAGCACAGACAACCACCACCATATTTTTCTACATGGAAAAATCTCCTATGTCAGTGCTGGAATGCGAGATCTTTCAGGGGAGGAGAATCAGAACTAGGGCTTCAGCTGGTCACCTGTCTTCAGCCACAGAGCACACGTATTACATCTTAGGTCCATAACACCTTTTCAGAGAACATGGCTTGCTTTGAGCAAGACCATTTGGCATCTGGGCACATTTCCATCACACACAGATTTGCTCATAGGAGTGCAGGAGTCCTCCCTATAGCAGGCCACATCTCTTGGAAAAGATGGCAGGGAGATCTAACACATGTGCACTGGGACCAAGCAGACAGTGCTGGTACAGTAGCATCTTAGAAGTCTTCTCCACCCTGTGTTGCACTGACATAGGTGCTTTTCCATGTAATCACCACTGATGAAGCTGTAAAGCTGGAAGCTGGAACAGGAAGACACACAGACCCAAACTTTCTTACTAGACATGACAAACTTGCTCAGCTGATGCCACTTGTGCTGCAGATTCTGTTCCCTCAGGATGGCACACTAAATCATCAGCAGGTGGACCTAAGGTTGTAGTACTTGAGCACTGGCTTGCATTTAAGGGCCCCTCAAACTCTGACAGATAACCTGCTAGGTCTGTAAAGGGAATGATTATTTTCTGTGGAAACTGTTCTACATAAGACAGAAACTCTGCATCCATAATGGACTCATCATCCCATGGTGTTACAGCCCAAGTGGTAGAGGTAACCTCAGCTTCGTTGGAGGAAGGCAGAGCCTGCAATGCATCTCCAGAAGCAGGTGCTGGTGGTGGTGATGGAGGTGATGGTGATGGTTCTTCCTGCAAGGGGACTGAGGAAGCTCGATTTACATCATTTGTTGAGACATCAGCCTGGCTGGCTGAGGGACCCCCAGCTATGGAGGACTGACTTCCACTCTCGTGGTTGTGACCTAACAAACTCTACAGAAGCCTCAGCTGCGGGGACAGCAGAAGCATCTTCAGCAGCCCTTTCTACTGGCGTAAATTCATGCTTCGAGGCCTCAAGGTCTTCATACTGGTTGCCACATCCCTCACAGAATAAAGATTGCCACGGTTACCTAGCACATGAACAGCAAGCTGTGCAGGCTCAGCAGGGACATACACCAGTTCAGTTCCTGCAGAGGATAAAGTTACATCACATTCAGTGGGGGATTTGCTTTCTGCAATGCAACTGGTATCTGATGGGTGTTGAGTTATTTTGCAGCTATACTGGATTTCAGGTTCTTCAAGGAGCTCGTCTTCCTCTGTGTCAGTACACCTGTCCTTTTGCTTGGGCTCCTCATAAAACAAAGTTTCTGTGTACTCTGATACCTTATTTTCCAGTCTGTCATCCCCATTTCCTGCAAGGTAAAATGTGCATAATGGCAATACATGTGCAACTTTCCATGTAAATAAAATGAAGAGTGCTTTCAGCACCAACTCCATTAGATGCTCTACAGCACATTTATGAGGCTTTCCAGGTTGCAGAGATGGAATGATTTAAGAAAGGATTTTGCTGCCTGCCTGTTACTAAAGGCAAAGAAAATTAAGAAAGCAGTGGTACCACTTCAAGGCCTGTGAAGTCTCAATTGTATTCCTGATCCTGCAGTGATGGCTACATTCTTACCTACTGCCCACACACACTGCCACCCGTACAGGTTAAAAGATTAAACCTTTTACGTTAAGCACATCAAGCCACCTAGAAGACCATGGCTCCTCTTTGCAGCACCTTGGAACTCTCTGGATCCATGCAAGTTATTTGAGATGCATAGATGGTGAGATTCTAGCTCCCTCATCAATCTTGATTAGTTGAACTGACAGGTAGCCAAAGGAAGAACAGGGTAAGCTATGAACAAATTTTAGATAGAGTGAAAAATAGCTTCTGGATTACTTACAAAGGGAGGAACACAAGAAAATACTCATGGGATCTAAACAGCATTCCATCACATGGTTAGTGAAAGCCTCAGCATTGGAAGGAAAGAAGTAGTCTTGTTTCGTTCATGATGTGCAAGCCTTGGCCAGTATGGAAAACCAGCACAACAGTAGAAGAGAAGGTGACTCTCTAGTACGACACCACAGCTTAGCACTGAGCTGTTTTCTGAAGTCACGACTGGATGAGATCAGAAATAAGGAGAGAAACGTAACTCAAAGGATGACAGAGCTAAATCCTCTCTGAAAAAACATTATTCTGACTGCCATCCCAAGCGAACACAGATCCAGTTATAACCCAACATCAGTCTCAGGCAATGCCACAGGAAAGAAAAGCTCCCCTGCAGCTACACAAACTCGCTAGCTACTTGCTGGTGCACAGACAGTCCCAAAACCCCTGCTGGTACTGTGGGTGAGAAACTCCAGGGGAAACCTTGCTCAAGCTTGCCAAGGAACCCCTCTGATCATCTCTTTTCATCACACCAGGGAAGTTGGGACCACACAGTAGGGGATGGACAACACAGAGAAAAGGACTAAGTGGTCTACAAGGAGAAAGGTGCAGAAGGGACCAGTATAGCAGGGTCAGTTCACAGTCACGTAAACAAACCACTGACAGGCATTCAGATGTAAAATTTCTCCATTATGCAGCTGCTTTCCATTGTATTTGGAAAGTCACAGCAGTAAGGCAGAATCCCTAGGAGGAAAGGGAATATTGCACCCATAAAAGAAAGAAGGTAATAAGGAGGACTCTGGGAACTACCAACCAGTCGGCCCCTATGAACCTCGTGAAGTCCAACAAGACCAAGTGCAAGGTCCTACACCTGGGTGATGGGATGCAGCCCATGATAAGTGAAAAACTACTTGCATCCGTTTGGGTTGGAACATTTGTTTCAAAACATCATAGAAGAACAAACAGCAGTTATCTTACCGCTAAAGAACTTGAAATTTTCAATCAGTTCTTTTATATCCAGATTAGGGTTCCCTGAAAACAGAAGCAGAAATTAAGCTGCAGCAGGACAGCACTCAAATAGCTCAGCTCTTCAGACAAAGCAGCTGTAGGAACAAACCTTCTCGAAAGGCACGAATCCTTGGAAATAGAGAGCTAAAAACTCCGCAACGTCATCCGGGTGGTTTTCTATCACTCCCTCCAGCAGTGTCCTGAAGCCACGTGGAATGACCACCTTCATCTTCGAAGTCTCCATCTTTGCCCACTCAAGTCAGTTCACGGTTTCTCACCTGTGCAAACAGAACCCCTCGGCTGAGCATCAACCCTGCCTCAGCATGAAGTGTCTGATGCAGCATGAGCACTGCTGCTCATCCCTTCCCGTGCCATCACTAACCCTCCTCCACCCCTTCCCAGACACACCTTTAACTTAAAGGCGGTATTCACCATTTCCAGTGACCAAACCCTTTACTCACCCTCTGCGCCTTTAGGCAGCAGGAGGCACAGCCAGGGGCCCACCCAGCTAGGGAACCACAATGTGAATTCAAACCCATGCCCTGAAGTCCTATTTTTTAAAGATAAACCCCACCAAAGCACCCCCTGATGAGCCAGAAAAAACATCTGTGTTCAAGCGAAGAGCTTACAGGATAATTCCTCCTCCATCTCCTCCAGTACTTGTCTGCTCCTGATCCCCACCTCCCCCCACGATGAGGATGGCAGGCAGGGCACCCAGGGCCACCCCACCCACGCAGGAGATTGAGACTTCATAGAGCGGTGCCGAGGTTTGGAGCTGGCAGAGGCTGCGCTCTGGCACTGTGGCATTACTGCTCATTGGTCAAAAAGGATTAAAAAAAGGAGCAGGAGGCAAAACACACAATTAAAATTTACACTTGCCAGAGCGCTCTGCAGCTGGGTGATGCTGCCGCTCATCACGAGGACTTTCCTCTTGCAATAAACACCTTCTCTTTATCACACAAAAACCAGTGCGTTTAAAGGATGTGATGTTTTGAGCACAACTCTGATTATAATCCTTTTAAGATTATATTTTAAGACCAAAGTACAGTGTCCCAGCTGCCATCGCTCACAACAAGCAGCAGCAGGGCTGCGAGGGCAAGGCCAAGCACCCATGGGTGCTGACTGCCACATGGTGTGGGGGAAGTGAGCACCCACGACACTTACACCCTGTGAGCTGCTTGCTGCCTTTTCTTCCTTCCCACGCTGCCATGAAACCCA